ATCGATCATTTTTATTTTGTTAGCTAAGCAGTTTAAAAAATACGTAGATCACCCTTACATGTCACAGCAATGAATTAACAAATTAACAAGTTACATCGCAAATGTTTACTGCATAGACTGTCAATAGATGTGTAACGTCAAACTGAGAAAATACAATTTGAGTAAATAGTCTGAACACAAGCTTTAATGATTTTAAAGTTTATTGAATTTCTAAATGGCCAGACAGTATAATATATTACGAGGATTTTAACCAGTGCTTCACGCCTTGACTTTTGCAGGCCAGAGTACCTGGAGTTGTTTGACAAAAAATTAAAAGAAAAAGGAATTTCGCAAATTGTTTTTAGCGCAAAAAGAGAGAGGGAAATGAGAAAGGAGAGGAGAGTACACTCGAGAGACCAGGAGGGTCAGAACATGAGAAGGCCACAGAAGGAGATGAAGATATGGATAGAGGAAGTGAATGATATAAATGAAGAAGAGAGGGACAGAGGCAGGAAGTGATAAGGAGGCAGTTACCACTCTACGAGATGGACCACATGGTACTGTATGTTTTTATTCCCATCCATTACAGTAGCATAGCAAGGCATGTCACTCAAATACAACGTGATGTAAAATAACATGTTAATTCCTACTTTCTGTTTTATGTCTTATATAGGATTACTTGCTTAAAGATGTACAAATGCACATTATTGTATCAGTGATTATGATCAAACCAAATATATAAAACAAATGCTATGAGTACTACTAGTATTTTGCCTGCCGTTTTATATTGTTTATTGAAAAATGATTGTAATTCTTGTATTATTTTCATTTTGCTGAAACTTTTATGTTTTAAAATATGCACTCTTGTTTTGCTTGATGACTGGGACGTGTTCCTTTTGTGATACTATAACAATATGTATATTTGTGTTTTAATGTTTTGCGTGTTGGATTCATCCATCCTCCCATGCCCCCCTGCAGGGCTGCCCTTGGCCAACATGTGGCCCCACGCACAGTTATGTGATGAGGCCCTCTGTGTCGCGAGCGTCGACCGGGGTGGGGGGCTGCTAGTGGAGCACCCGCGTGAACTGCGAGCGCCGGAGCCTCGCAACAGCGAAACTGTGGCGTGCTTAATTGCGCAGCATTTGCGCATAAGCTAAGTGCGCCGCCCATCAGATGAGGCCCCCTCTGTGAGGTGAGGCCCCACGCAGTCTGCGTGATCTGCGTGGGGCCTCTTGCCACCCCATGTAAAATGTTCTAGATCCGCCACTCTATGGAATAAAGAAGCAAATTATTATACAAACGTAAGGCCTTCTAATAATTGTTAAATACAAGCAAGTGCTTTAAATGCATAAAGAAGCAAATTAATGTCTTGTTTTATATTTATATTAATGTAAAAACTGTGATTATCCGTTCCTATTGCTCTGTACCTGTACCTGCGATATTACCGTGTATCAATGCAACAAAAAGCAGATCTGACAATATGGGTTGTTGTTTATAATCACACTTTATTTTATTCTGGGTCCACATGTAATGACAGAAAATAAACAGATAACATGAACATGGTGTACAAGGACATTGAGATAAAAAGGAATATACAACAAAACATTGTTAAACTGCTGCCATCATCCTACGGGTATGAGCATTGTGCCTTTATATGACCATTATAATTCAACGAAGCCGCATGCTTCTGCTGGAACGCGGTCGAGGTGCTTTTCTACTTTAATAGCACGATGCAAAATTAGGAATATTTATCATTTGCCACAACTCCAGTCTATTGATTACATGAGAAATGGGTTAAGAAAGCAAGGGTGCATGATTTTAACAAAACATACAGAATACAGGAAAAAGAATACAGAAGATATTTGATAAATAACACGATTAAAAGATCCGACAAATGTGAAAAAATATGCAAAACAATGGCAATACACAGCTTGTAGCAGAGCATAATCAATGGTTATACAAGGAAATGTGTTTGGATAATTGCATTAAAACAGAGCAGGAGCATTTTCATACTAGTTCAGCTTGATCTCACTTTAAAGAGGGAATATTTAACATTATTTAAACCAACACTTGTTTTTAGTACGAGACACTTCCTGTTCGATCCACCCACGCGTACGCAGTCTAATTGAGTGTGTGAGTTTTGTTCTTTTGGATCTAGAGATGACTTTTTACTCGAGGTACGTTCATCCCATCTCTTTTCATAAAACATTAATTTCTTGTAAGCACATTTACACAAGCATGAACTCATGTTTTTGTCCCTAATCTGTATCAGTATTTAGTTATTATACGTGAATTACAATTAAATCACGGTCAAATGTGTTAACTTTGTTTTTGGTGTATGGTATGTACATGGAGATAAGCCCCGCCTCCACGCCAGCACGTCTCGTTTGAGTGACGCGAGTAAACACGAATGGTGCTGCGGGCCAACTCAATGCAATGCAAATCAAAGCAGTATAATATGAAGTTGTTCAGATAGCAGAGAAAAAGACTAGTTTGGGTTGCAAGTAAACAAAATAAACAATGGATTCTGGACTTCTTCTTCTTCTCCTCCTCTCCTTCCTCCTCTCCTCTCCTCCCTCCCTCAGTGCACCAGCTCCAGTTGGCTGCTGGAGAAAGGCAGGACCCCACTGACGTAGTAAGCGATGCCCAGAGAGAGCAGAGCGATGACCACCAGCAGCAGGAGGACCCTCCAGAAGCCCAGGTCCTCCACGAACTCCTGCCAGGTGGTCCTGAAGCTGGACAGCACCCCCTCACTGCTCTGCAGGTTGGGGTTCAGCAGGGAGTGGCTCTCCATCGCACTGGAACATGGAGGGAATCACAGTTAGGGATCACCTCCTCTCTCCTTATTGTGACTGGTATGCGTATCCTAACCCACCTCAAAGCAAGGCAAACAAAACCAGAATCTTTTTGGCTGTTTATCCTTTTTGAAACTTGAAGTAAGGCCTGCCTGGACATGAATGGACACATTTTGGCTACTGTGGCAAAGCACACACACACACACACACACACACACACACACACACACACACACACACACACACACACACACACACACACACACACACACACACACACACCTACCTCACCTCTCACTGTCAGCCATCTGCATGGTCTCCAGTTTGGAGTGTGCCCCTCTGTTGAAGCCCTTCACCTCCTGCTCCTCCAGACCCTCCAGCAGACGGATGGCGTCCTTGTTGACGCCGCGTCTCTTGGCCAGAACCAGAGGGGTGGAGCCGTTGTGATTACTGTGAAGGAGAAGAGCGGACAGACAGCTGTTAGTCAAAAGAGTCAAAGGAACGGTGCTAGAGCGGATATTAGAAGTATTTAAAGAGTCCTCTCCGGCTGATGTTCAGGTGTATATCAGTATGTAGTGTCTCTACTTTAAAGAGTCCTCTCCTGCTGATGTTCAGGTGTATATCAGTATGTA